ATTATGACTAATGTTACAGTGAATATGGGAGTGCATATATCTCTTTGAGATACTAATTTTATTTTCTTTGGATATATACCCAAAACTAGGGTTGGGGAATCATATGGTAGCTCTGTGTTTTATTTTGCTTTGTTTTGTTTTGAGGAACCTCAATACTGTTTTCCATTTTTATACTTGAAATTTAAGAGTAGATCTCAATTGTTCTTACCACACATACCCACACATACAAATGGTAACCATGCGAGGTGAAGTATGTGTTAACTGGATTGTGGCCATCACTTCACAATGTATATGTACATTAAAATATCATGTTGCACACCTGAAAAATCATGTTGTAAGCCTTAATATATAACATTCTTATTTGTCAGTCAGACCTCAGTAAAGCTAGAAAAAAGGGAGAGGAATTAGAGAATGAGAACATAAATGAGTTTTATATTCTAGGAGTTTTTCTGCAAAGGAGAGCAGAGAAATGAGGTGCTAGTTGAGTGGTAGTTTGCTGGTGAAGGGAGGAGGTGTTTTTGTTTTTTTGAAGATTGGAGAAATTACAGCATGTTTATTTGCTAATTGGAACCATTTGGTAGAAAGGGAAAAATTGATGCTCCAGGAGAAAAAAGCGAACATTGCACAAGAGATAGTTTTGAGTAAGTAAGAGGGACTAGGATCCAGTGAAGGGCCCAATAATTTGGGTTATCCCTAATGTTAGTATCCTTCCATTCAAGCATTCAAAAAATTTTAATCATTACCTGCTGTGGGTCAGTATCTTTGCCAGGAGCACTCATAACAAAGATACCTAAGACCCAGTTTCTGCCAAAAGGTAGAAAAACCTTTAACAGAAAGATATAATACAGTATCATAATATATATACCAAAAACACTATGAAAGAGCCCAGAAGAGTGAGCACTTAGCTCTGCCAAAGGCCAGTGTAACATTTGCAATAGCACCAAATATGCTTTCTTATCTAAGGGAAATGTCAGTTTATTTTCAAGCAAGTCTATGCAGTAATACTAAAATGTAGCAATTTCATTTAAAAACCAGTACTTTAGATCATTACAAAGTACTCCATCATTGTCAGTATTCTTTCTTTTAAAGATTTTATTTATTTATTTTTATGTATTTTAGAGAGAGAGAGGGCACAAGTGGGGGAAGGAGTAAAAGGGGAAAGAATCTCAAGCAGACGTCCTGCTGAGCATGGAGCCTGGTGCAGGTTACAATCCTGAGACCATGACCTGAGCTGAAACAAAGAGTTAGACGCTAAATTGACTGAGCCACCCAGGCAGCCCTCATTGTCAGTATTCTTAAAATTATATTTAGTGTTCTATTTGTGTTTAGTTACAGCTAAATATAGTTCATAATAAAAAACTACTTGCCATTAATTTCAAAATAAAATTCAAATAAAATCCAAAAATAATTATCTTTCAACTCTACATTTATTAGAATACAGTAAGAAATACAGTGCACAATTCCTGCTTCTATGGAAATCCAAGTTAGAAGTCTCCAGTTGTGCAACAGATATGACAAGCAAGTAACAAAATAGTGTAAACTGTGAGACCGTAGCACGGAGATATCACAAGGCTTATGGCAGGGTGTCAAATATACTGTACAATTAATAAATATTTTATGCTTGGAAGGATAAAAAAATTTAAGAGAAAGTGATCAGCAAAATTTATAATAGGGTTCTTTATTTTTTTACTGTATTCTTGACTACTGTTATTAATTTTCATCATGAATTAGTAAATACAATTGTCACTACCTAAAGAGATGTCTTAAAATTTTTCAGATTATTTTTCAGAGATTTATTATTGGTGTATGTACATTTCCATAAGGAGTGAGTCAAATGTACTTAATAAGCCTTTAAAAGTAATTACAAACATAAAAATACTTTGCATATACTAATAATAGTGTACATTTGACTTAAAACTAAAATAATTATACTACACTTCTTTCTTTTGACCAGTGGTACTGCAGCAACAAACCATAAATTTCTTTTTCCATTTATACTTTACTATTTTGTGTAATTCCAATTACTTGCAGTGGCAAACCCTTCCATACTACAATCAAAGATCTCTGTATTTGGAATTAGGAATATTTTAAGCCATTCTCTATTTTTCATTTTGCCAAGCACTGATGTTTATATGAGCATTTCCTCATTCTCTTTTATTAAGTCTGTTTCAATATTTCAGCACAATAGAAAAATTTATAAAAGCAGTAATACTTATAAGCAACATTATTTCTTATAACCAAACAAATAATACTTTTAAAAATGATTATTTTTACTTGGCATTGCTAAATTCAGAGCTTTATAACTAGTAAAAAGCAAAAGACTGATGTCCTCCCAAAGTGAATTTTATTTTATTTTATTTTATTTTAAAGATTTTATTCATTTATTTCATGAGAGAGCATGAGAGAGGGAATACAAGCAGAGGGAGTGGGAGAGGAAGAAGCAGGCTTCTGGCCTAGCAGGGAGCCCGATGCAGAGCTCAATCCTAGGACCCTGGGATCATGACCTGAGCTGAAGGCAGATGCTTAATGACTGAGCCACCCAGGCACCCCCAAAAGTGAATTTTAATTAAGGGTTTGATCTCAGCTTTTTGTTTAATTCAATACCTTTTTCTCAATTTTGTGTTAGCAATGTACAGTATACTCTACTAAAAGATCACCAGAAAATCAGTGTTTACTCTTTTGCAAATTTTTTTTCCTATGGTTAATAATATAACCAGGCATATCAAGGGCTTTAATTATATGCCTCAATGACTTAGCTCCTTGAGAATCTCAGAGAAGATGACCTGACATACAACAGATACAGTTATTTATTTCATATTCTATGCAGGAAGCATGTTTTTTTTTGGTTTTGTGCATACATATTTGACTCCAAACAACCAATCAATTCTTTGAAAAATATCAAAATACTTTATATATGCATATAATAACATATAGACTTATTTATTGGGTTGTTCACTTTCCAAAGGATTTTCTTGGTGACAGGTAGAAACAGTGTTAGGGCTGTTAATTGTTTCAGTTTCAGTACACACATGCTGAAATGGACTTTACTTTAAAAACCAGATTCTAAAGAAATAAGTTGTAGGAATTTTGGAAACACAGAATTCAAAACATTGAAAATATGGAGGATTGATTCTGCCAAGCAGTTGAATAGACATGACAGAACTGAACCTTTCCCAAAAGTTTTACTTAACCCTGGGAGGGCAGGATATATGGACCTGCATCAGCTCTCCCAAAGGTCTCCCTTTATAAAAATGCAGAGATCTGCTCTATGAGAATTTTGGAATCTTAGGTGATTGTTTTTAAAGTAGTTTGCACACCTTGAAAGGAAACCACTTTTAAATAAACACTATATTTTTTGGCTCATTAATAATTTTATCATATCCACTTCATCCTCAGACTTTCAAAAAACTTAGCAAAATATACTATGTAAACTCTATCATTATACATAGTATAACACCATAAGGTTACATCTTCCTTAGGAACAGAATTAAAAGTCTCCTAATGGAATTTTTTTAAATACATGGACTGATCATAGTAATTGATCATGAAATTTAGCTGGGCAAGGAAGGAAATGAAGAGGTATATAGTGACTGAGAGGCCTTAGAAGGGGGGAGGGTCAGTAGATTAAGGAGGAGGATATTTGGATTTGGGGTTCTGCAGGAATTGCACTAGAAATACAGAAGACTGTAGTGGAAAAATGGGATGCTAGAAAGGATTACAGCCTTTGCAGTTAACGGGTTAAGCATATAACCACAGGAGTGGGTAGAGGAGAGAACCTCAAGAAACTGAGAAACCAAAATATTGGAGGATGAATATTGAAGTCACCACGAATTATGGCAGAAGTAGTGTTTAAATGCCTGGGTTTCAACCCTGGTACTACACACTTCCCAACTGTGTGTCCTTGGGCCAGTTACATTACCTGTCTCAGTTTCTTCATCGGTAAAACGAGGGTAATGATAGTCTATTTCTCATAACTATGAGGATTAAACAATTTAATACTTATAAAACCCTAGACAGTTTTTGGCATATGGTAAATGATATATATATGTTTAGTACTATTATCACGTGCATAATAATCATCATTATTATGATCCAGTCCCGTGTGAGTCTTGGCTTTTCATTCATTTAAAATTTATCGAGCAGTTATTGTATGCCAGGCATCGTGCTAGGTATGCTTTTTAAACATTTTTGTGATTTTCTTAGGCTCTTTTGTGCTTCAGGAATTTCAAGTTGATCAAAAATAATATACTGGAGCCTCACCAAAAAGTTATGCTTGAAGTCTATATCATGAGTTCTGCTTGCTAAAGTAAAATATTATTTAGTAAGACTACGGACAGAGGGAAACAGGCCAGGCCGGCCAATACAGTGATTACTTGGATCTGGAATCTAGACTTGTTCACAATAGCAAAAGAGATGCTTGGGAGTGGGGCAAGCCCAGCTATAGGCCATAAATGGGAATCCAGCCATATTGCTGAAGCATGGTGATAAATCCAAAATATATTGTGACAGGAGTTAGGAGGCAGTGGAGATGGAAAGTCAGCATTGTAGCATTCCAACAGCCACAGCAGGTTAATATCCTTGCAGGCACGTTAAACACAAGGGGCTTCTATCTTGGAGACTGGCTATCAAGATTTAGACACTTGGGCATTGGGGAATAAGGCAGAGAACCAGTGACTGAAGAGAAAGTGAAATCCCTAAAATAGTGATACTCTTTGTAAAGGACCATACCCTTAAAGTCTGGGGCTCCTAAGAGAGCAAACCTAGGCTGTTCTTTATTATTTATAAAAGGATGCCTTAAGATTGCATTATCACCTGGCCAGTTGCCACAGGCAGTTTCACCTTCTGGCTCAAAACACACATTTTTCATCTACACAAATGCCAACCATAACGTTGCATATGAGTGAGTGTGTTTTGCAGACTGTAGCTAAAAATCAGTGTTAAGTATGAGCGGACATGGGGAAGAAAAACAATGTGATGTGAATTTTGTTCTCTGTGTTTAGGCAAGCTACGACCTATATCTATGCCAGTGGAATATAATTGGGTGGGGGACTATGAAGATCCAAATAAGATGAAGAGAGATAGTAGAAGAGGTAAGTGTTCTAGAATTTCAGTGTAGGCTGGGGTGTTGGAACAAAAAGCAAATTTAAATGTTCTTTAAATAGGTTGTTATGGCTTCAGTGGAAAACTTCATTCTCTCGTTGATTTGATGATACACCCAAACCAAACTCAGACCAACGTTTGACTATCTTAATATGTTATTAAATAGATATCTTCTCTGAATATCTCTTAAGGAATTCAGGGCAGATAAGTACAGTGTAAAAAAAATAAATATCTGATTGTTATGTCAAAGTCACTATTTGGAAAACAAGGTCAGAAGTGTGAAACTGCATAAAAGAATTAAGTTCAAAGAATAGGAAAAGTTTGTGATCAGTCCCCATTGGTCCGCAATGCAACCTCACTACTTTTTAATTAGTACAATCTTAAAATGGGTTTTGACGTACATGAATAAAGCTAATGGAAACTGGGCCAGTGACTAATGAAAACCATATAGAAACGGGAAAAAAAAAACACTTTGCTTTTTTTTCTCTTCTGTTTGTTGTTCAGGGTTATCTTCTTACTTGGGGGTGGGCTACACATGAAGTATCTACAAAAGTAAGTTTTTATGTTCACTTATCCTGCTGTTGATGTGAGCAGTAAAGAGAGCCACTGGAAGTCTCACTACTAAATGGGACTCGACCAGCTGTGGATATGGTGAACTACTTCTGCTTTCTGAAATAGAGAGCCATAAAGTTCTAGATAAAAAATAAAACAAAGCAAAAAACTATTCATAGGGCCTCAGCTCACTAAGCTTCCTTCATAATATATTTAACCCATTTGCCTGTTACTTCTAGCTGATGTGCTGAATTTACCACACAGGATAAACAAGCATGAATTAGTCTAGTTAACACTTATTTCATGGAGTGAACATTTCAGAAAATGTTGGTAAATACAGGAATATTGACAGCTTCCTTTACATCTAAGTATTCATTCCATTTTCCAAATTTTAGTTTCTGACTTCATTTGTGTTATAGAATCAATCAAGAAAAAAGTAAAAAGAGAAACATACATGCTATTACTGAGTCATTGTTTTGAGACTTGATATGATGATGATATCTTGGGGGAAAATGCTTTATGAAGTTCTAAGTGATGGCTGTCAGTTTAAGCATAGATTCTATGAACTAAGTTTCCTGACTCTTGGTTCAGAATATGGGTTTTAAGTTCTCCAAGGATGCTAGTCTGTTATAGGTCACTGTTTGTCATCGATTTTTGGCAGAATCTCCCTGGGGAACTTGTTAAAAATTTTATGAGCCGCACACCCAGAATTTCTGATTCAAGTTTTACAGTGATTGTCATATAGTTGGTCCAGAGATAAAACTTGGATAAATAATCTGTAGGCTATTTCTTACTGCCCTATGATCCCAAATGATTATGATGCTCTATGTTTTTACTACATAGGTATTTTATAAATTAAATCAAGTTACATTTCAGAAATGAAATCTAATAGCACAATCAGGGAAGAGTGATAAATTTGGAATATTTGCATATTTATATTGGTGTATTTCTCTTTTTATATAGAAAACTCTCTACTTCGATACATGAGCAATGAAAAAATTGCTCAAGAAGAGTACATGTTTCAGAGAAACAGCAAAAAAGACACAGGGAAGAAGTCTAAAAAGAAGAGTGATAAGAGTAATAGCCCGACTCACTATTCATTGCTACCTAGTTTGCAAATGGATGCACTGAGACAGGACATCATGGGCACGCCTGTGCCAGAGACCACACTATACCATGTAAGTAAAATTTCAAAGACTCTGTGCGATAGCTTCTATTAGGAACCTGGGCCAAATGACTCTTTTGGGCAAAGTCCAGATTGCTTATCTTTATCCTACTGCCAGATTTTCATAAAAGATCCCAAGTTTAGAAATATTTTTAAAAACCTTGATGGCTTATTGATTTGTTCTTCAGGTCATATATTCAGTGAGTTCATATGTTATAGCAGGTTCTATTTTTTAATGAAATAATATGCTTAGAATTGATGGAGAATAATAATTAATTAGGTGATTAATCACCTATAACAATAAACAGTAAGTAGATAGCTCTAAAATTCAACATTAAAGATAGGATTTTTAATGTATTCATGAGCATCTTTTATGTGCTAGACTTGGAGCATGGTGCTTGAGGTAAACATGAGAATACATAGATAGCACATTGTTATATGAGGAGAAAGACACACCAAGGATTCCAATGGAAATTGATTGTTGTAATGGGTAGGTGTAAGAAGTATAGGAGCAACATGGGAGAAGGAGGAACTTAGCTTTCTGGGGAGGTGAGAAAAGGCTTAGAATGGGGAGTATTTGGATGAAGAGGGAAAGATGAGTAGCACGGGAAGATATATGGAAGTACGCCCCAAATGTGTGAGAATTTGGTATGTTCCAGGAGCTTCCTGTTGCTCAGAATGACCAGTTCATTAAAAATTGAGGGAAAGCATGTGGGGAAGGGGTAGTAGATGGGCCTAGAGAGGTCGGCCACAGTTAGATCAGGAGTTTTATAAACAAGTACTTAGGCTCTTTCTAGCAGTGATAAAAAAAAAAAAAGAACTATTGAAGAATTTTGAGCTGGGAACTCAAATGATGAGACTGGCCTATTGGATCTCTATGTTGAGGAGTACTGAGCAAGAGGTCTGAGATCAAAGTTGGAGCCATTACGCCCAGGCCAGGCAGATGATGAGAAACTAGGATAGTGACAGTGTGGAGGTTGAGAATGTTATTAGCCAGAACATTCAATTGACAAAATCAACCCATTGTACACCATTTTGGTTAAAAGGGAATTTGTTGTGCCAGTGGAACTATAGCATCTTACTAGGAGCCCTTGAAAAACATGGATTGCAAGTTTTAAAGTAATTTTGATCACAGTATCAAAATGCTTAATCTGTCAATGCAGTAGAAGGTGTACCATCTAGGTATACAAGGTATGAAAGATAAATAGCTCCTATTTGAGTTACTTTTCTGAGCCAATATTTTAAATCTTCTGCTTAGCTATTCTAAAGCTCTCTCATAAAACTAAAGTGTAGAAAAATATTTCCATTTATTTGGGTGGAAGTAGGAGAGCAATGAGCTCTTCTAGGTCCTCATTCTCTACCCTCCCCAAGCCTCTTCTCTCTAAGAGATAGTGCCCATATCAAAACCTGCTCTCCTAAGTGACTGACAAATCAAATGATTGTATTTGCCACAGTCATTTTGTAGTCAGTCTGAAATCGGTACTCTTAGCTGTATGAAGGGGGCCAATTTTGCTGTCACTAGTCAGAAATTCTGTCTGAATACTGAGCTCCCTCTAGAATCTGGTGCTCCAGTCATAAGTAATGTTGTGCAAACAAAGACCTAAACATAAGGGACAGGTGGTCTGTTTGAGAGGGAGGTTGGTAGTGTGAAATGAGGCTGCAGAAGGAGGAAGAGACCACTTCACCCAGAGCATGTAAACTATTAAAGGGTTTGGATTTATCCTAAGAGGAGAAGTAAGCCATTGAAGGCACATTTAAACACTTAGCCTTTGCCATCTTGTCAAGCACATCTGGACAGGAGTAGACTGTAGGAGGAAGGAAAATAGATGAATCTTGTGGATTTGAGTTATTAATTTATGGAAGATAGTAAATGGTGAATCAAACTGGTAATGAGGAATATCTTGAGGATTGAGTATTGTAGAGGAGTATAAACTGTTACCACTTTCCTGAAGGTTATTATTTCATTATATGTATCAAAAACCAAGTCCAGTAGCTTCACTTCTAGATTATTCTAAGAAAGAAACCAGTCTGCTTTTGCTACCTATTTGTATTATGTGACCTGAGTCTGTAAGAAGGCATTTCCCAGATAGATGATATTTATCTCAGCTTTTGAAAGAGGAACTGCATACAGTAAGGAATATTATTAGTTGTCGGGGCTGGGGAGAGTCCTCCCATGTAACACTGACCCGCTAATCCTAGAGTAGAAGGCTTGACACTTTCTAACTCTATCCTCCGGTTTAAAGGAAGCTAAATGGGGGTGCCTGGGTGGCTCAGTGGGTTGCACCTCTGCCTTCGGCTCGGGTCGTGATCTCAGGGTCCTCGGATCGAATCCCGTGTCGGACTCTCTGCTCAGCAGGGAGCCTGCTTCCTTCATTCTCTCTCTCTGCCTGCCTCTCTGCCTACTTGTGATCTCTGTCTGTCAAATAAATAAATAAAATCTTTAAAAAAAATAAAGGAAGCTAAATAATTGTTAGCCCTAAAGTACATGCCTAAACAATGTTCAAATGCCTATAGCCAATGTCCACAAAGAGAAAATGGGGTTTCACTTGGCTCTAAGATCCTTGAGGACCTTTTAAGCCTTGCACTTACTTAACATCTTCACAGGTATCAAGGGAGCTTCCGCACTGATTGTCCTTCACACCTCACAACAACCACCTTGGCAAATGACAAAACTCAAACTCAGAAAGGTTAAGTGATTTACGCAGAGCTGTGTTGCAAAAAAATGTGAAAGTAAGGACTAGAACCCAGATCACCTACTTGAGTGGTCTTTGCATTCTACCCTGCTTCTCTATGCATGGTAGGCATTCCTTACACAAATGAATTCATGCTTTAATGACTAACTGCATGAATTTTGAAAAAACTTGACTTTAAGAAGCATGTGCCTTCATATGTTGATTTTAAGAACATTTTCGGTATCTGGATTAACTTGCACCCAGATTTCTCTTTTGCTCTGTTACTATTTTTCATTAAGTTCAGAAAAACATACAGATCTGCTGCTGTTATAAACCACAAGTAGTTCTTTGGCATAATCTATTGCTCAGACTATGGAGTATTATAGTTAAAATTGTCTGGACCTTGGAGACAAAACAACATATGCTTAAATGATTGTTTCTTATATTTCACAGGAATTCTTTGCTTTTTAATCTGTTTATACACACCTAGTTAAAAATTAAAGGATTTTTCCTTATATTAAATTGTCCCAAAACACAAGATCAATATCAATATTTAATCACCTTCATGATGAACCACTAAACATTCTTACCAATTATTCCTTTGGATCACACAGCTAATTTTAATGGACTAAGATTTCAGTGGAAGAAAACTCTGAAGATTGAGTCCTGAGTTTCATAGGCTGTTATCTTTCTTGCAATATACTAGCTCCCTGTGGTCTGAGTTCACATTTAGACAAAATTTAGTTGAATTTAATAACAGGATTATATCAACATTAAATATCCTTTGAACAGTTTACCAAAAAACTATATTGTGGATGTGGGGGGAGGGGAAGTGAGGTTCCCCATAAACAGACCTAGGCTAAAATACCCATTGGTCTGTTTTGGAAAGCAGCCCAATAAAAATACACAAAGCAAGGCAAATACAGTTTGCTTTCACTGTTTGACTCATTCCTCTTAGCAATTATAGCAGAAATGTGTATATATTAACAAAGAAAATTGAGAAGTTTATGGTATTATAAAACAGTTTTTTATTCATCTCATATATTTGTTATTCCAGTATATATATTTTCCTTAAATTGTTTAAAAGGAAATTACTCCCTATGTTCTGACTACACTGACCATCCACTAGTATTTGCTATCTCTTTCCTTTGTGATATGCTATGCCTTGTACTGAAACTGCTTTTACCCCTTTTTACCCCCAGCTGACTCTCATCTAAACCTGAAATTACAGAAGGGCTTTGCCTGACCACTACCCTCTAAACTAAATCAGCTTCTCCTACTTAAGTCTGTTAGCACCCTCTATATTTTCTTCAAAACCTTTTTTATGATTTATAATTATATACTTATTTATGTGATTATCTGTTTAATGTCTTTCTCCCTTATACATAGTAGGGAGGACATGTCCATGCTCATGACAAGAAAGGAAAGTTTTTCCATTTTGTTCAGCACTCTATTTCAACACCTAATATAGGTATAGTATCTTATAAATGTTCGGTAAACATAAGACAAAGAAATGAATAAGTGAGTGAATGTGACAGGAGCTCACTGTCATTCCCACGATCTCTCAGTTGATGTCCTCAGCCTGCAAACAGCTACCTCCATGTGCCCAACCTGAACAGGCCTTCAGTTGGAATGTAATCATAGTGGAAATCACCAGGAACTTATTACCATAGGCTCAGTGTCCCATGTGCCTGGGGAGAGCCCTCAGACTCTGAATATCTTCTGTCATGTTTATCTAGTCCATATAACTAAATTCTTCCTTGGTTTATCGATTAACATTCCATTTCACTCCAATAATCAGAACCCTGCCCATACTGGCACCTCTGCCAAGGAGCATCTGGCTTGGTTTACTGCTACAGAAGACAGACCATGTGCAACCTACCACTGGCTACCCACCCGTTTAAAAGGGTATTGGAAGTACCTGGTAACTTACACTTACCATGTTGGGCTTCCTATCAAAGCAGGTCTCAGTTTGCACCTTTAATCAGGGTGATTTACAAGATTTCTCAGCTTTACAGATGACACTAGGGCAAGAGGATTAGCTCCCCATCAGTCCCCACCCCGCCTCCTCTACTCCAGCTCAGTTTCAGTTCCAGCTCATACTTGCTTTCTTTCTATCACTGCCATCTCACTAGGGAGGTCACGATATACCTGTCAGCCAAGCATATTAGGGTATTTGTCTTTTCTTTTCTTTTCTTTTCTTTTCTTTTCTTTTTTTTTTTAAAGATTTCATTTACTTATTTGGCAGACAGAGATCACAAGTAGGCAGAGAGGCAGGCAGAGAGACAAAGAGAGGAGGAAGCAGGCTCCCCGCTAAGCAGAGAGCCCAATGCGGGGCTCG